TGAAGTCTCCAGAGCCAAGTGATAAGCGGCAAAAACTCCATATTGGACAACATGTTTCACCTTCTTTAACTCATCCCCATTGGCACCATAGAGCAATACCTGAAACAAATTCAATCCATCTTAAAACTTCTGACTTTTTGGTAAACAAAAAACATAGTAAAAGGAATTACTAAAATAGTTAATGTTAAAATGGTAAAACAGTCATGCAAATGCTCCCTATCCACCAGTCAAAGCTAAGAAGAACTCTGAATTAAGATATCCTTGATCGGCAGTCTGGTAACCTGATTACAATTCCATTGTCTTTGCTATTTTCTTTTGTTCTTTCACTGTGTTAACAAGTGACAATACAAATAACAATAGGTCCTAGCCTACAAATTTGACAAGACACCAAAATGTGCCAGTTAATGCCCAACAAAGTCTGTGTATATATTCGGGACTTACGGTAACACCCAAGGGCTTCGGGCAACCTTCAAAGAACATCAGAGTCTTTGTCAATTTCTTCCCACCTTGCCCAGCACTGCCATGCACTTCAAGAAACTTCTCCACATGGAACATGTCACAAAACCCTAGTTTTGGTGATGTGAGATGATCTATTGAAGGGACTATTTGTGCCCCAGTGCAGCGGGCTATTCGCTCCAAAAGTGGCCTCTTAATATTCAAAACAAGTGAGATGTCTTTCGCAAGAAGGTAATCTTGAGCATACCGAGATACAGACTTCTCCACCAAAAGAACATTTGGGTGATGTGAATCTATCTTTGCAACTGCCATCTTCAGATGATCCATTTCCTAAAAAAGGGATAGTCCATCAGAAGGAGAAACATACAAGATTACTAAATGAATAGGAAAGATAAGTGTGTGATAGAAAACATATGCAGGGTTTGATCGCTAATCAAAATCCTACAAATTCAAAGTTTTAACGTACAACACAAATAAACGGAAAAGGTAAAAAGAACCTGCTGCAACAAAGTATCGAAACTTGACAAGAGGTTTGAAACACGCTGATATTCCAAAGCTCCTCCAAGGATTAAAAAGCGCGGTTTTTCTATTTTTGATGTCATTCGCCGATGAGCCACATTTTTCTTACAAACAACTCCTTTAACCACCGTACTGAACAAAATGAAATGAAAACCCGTCAACAACTAATGGATTGCATAACTTTCGCATGTAACAGGACATAGATATAATATAAAAGTTTAGGAACCATTATAAATTTGGTCTACTGAAATAATACTGCACAGGAATATGCCTCACACTGCTCAAAATGGTGAAAGAATAAACTTTAGATCAAAAAGATTTACCTATCAGTTCGACGCCCACAAGCTATGCATTTAACCTTCACATATCCCCCAGGGTCCATTCCTCCACCCTTGCTCGTATCTGGCTTGAGAAGTGTGGCAGCTTCCCACGACAATGAAGTAATTATGTCCAACCAGCTCTCATTGTTGCCTTCATCACCCAGTGGTAGATTTTCAACCTGCAAAAGCTGAGATACTAAAGCTCTAAAATGACCTTCCACAACATTCTTCATCGCCTTCCTGTGCTCCTCAATTGACTTCTCCCTCGTATGACACTCCCCATTACCAAAGCTATTTGAAGAACCCAGGTAACCCCACTCCCCTGCACCACCACCAGAACCACCACCATCATAATCGTCGTCATCAAATAAGACAGCTTCTCTCTCATCTTCTTCGTCCTCGGGCTCCGGAGGGAGCCAAAGTAGCCCATTGTTCTCAAAATCCACAGGTTCTGTATTAGTGCTTTGCAGGTCATATGGAGAAGTTCCACATTGATCACCATTATCGTGTTCGTATGGTTCTTCCTCAATTTTATGAATTCCTACTGCATCCTGTGTATCAAAACTCCCAGGTAATAAGGAACTTGTGTTATCTCCATCAAGATGCACATTCTGGGGTCCATAGACGCTAGCAAATTCCTCGATTGTGACTGCACCATAATAGTCATTGCCATGAGAGAGATGACTTGGTTCTGAATCTAAACGATAAACTCCATAGTCATCATCCTCATCATCACTCCTGGTATCAGACGATAAGTAAAAAGTAAAAACAAGCAATGGATTACCTTATAAAGAGCCAAATATAAGGATATGAGATATGAGGACGAGAATGAATAATCATGGTTAGAAACTTAAACGTAAAATTCATTTATATGACCTGACACATACATGTATCGCATACTCGCAGGCCACATTAACATTAAATGAAGACAGAATGACTGGAAAGATATTTCACGAAAACAGAAACTCTATTCACTTTCCAATCCATGATTGGTATTCTTTATTCAGACATAAACAAAGACCTTACACGGACACTTGAAAACTTATTTGAAACTAATGAATTTGTGAAGTACAAGGAAAAGGTATTCAGTGATAGCAGGAGATACCTGTTCATGCAAAAGCCATATTGATTTAGAGAGGGCTCGGCCATGGCAACATCAGAACTAATGCTCGTCTGCGATGTCACATTGTCTTGCTGTACCGGAACTGAATCAATTTGGGAAGATGATTGACTAGGGCTACGACCAGAACTATATGGCACGTGCTGGTAAGGTCCGGTCGAATAAGGGGTAGAACCAATAGTGCTGCTGCTGCTGTGGCAGGTGCAGCTGGACTTGGTGCTTACCAAACTTGTCGCAGATGGTGATGGACTGAGACCAGGGCTGGCTGCAGGGCCGGCCCCATTATTGGGTGCCGCTACCCCTTGCTCCCATTGGTGGAAGCAATAATAACAGACCCTAATCCGCTCCCAATCTTCTCTTCCAGCCCTTGGCTCATCAGACGCCGCAGGAATAGAGTTTGCAGTACACTTAGCACAGAAAACTCGGCCACAAAGTCGACAATGATGCCTTCGGTTAAATATTGTGAACTGGGAGTCACAGTCATAACATACCCTACAGCTTTGATCAGGCATCCAAAAGTCCCTGGACACATTGGGCGGCTCGGACCTCCTGGGGATCCAAGACTTGAATATGTCAACTAACTCGGATAGTTTGTTGTCGGGAGTGCCCATCGACAACTACCCCACCCGAGCCCTCTCATGATGACAGGATCATCATTGTAAGCTCTCCCTAAACAGAATTGCAACTAAATCACCGAATAACAAATAGAATCCAAATAACCATAACAATTGAAAACTTTAGGAATTCGGAACTCAAGAGCTCATCGAAATTGAAATGTACATATACAAAACGCCATCTGAAATCATAATATCAATCACAATCACAGAATTCAATCCAAAACACAAATTTAAGCTGAGAGTTAAAAAAAAAGCATCAATCTTTGCAGCTAGCAAAAGGGTTGCATGCAAAAAAGCATAACTTTTAAGCTTCATTTCTCATGGTATAAAAGAAAAGCAGCAAAAATTTACCAGAACCAGTAGTTGGAAGCAGCAAATTTGAAACCCCATTTGGCTAAAGTCCCCAAATTCAAGTGCTTCTGCAAATTCAAGTGCTTTTGCAAACTGAGATTTTGAGAGATCACCAGAAATTCCAAAAGCTCAATCCTGAGACCCAAAAGTGCTTTCCTTTCTGCTTCAACTGCAACACGTCTCTGCAAAAATACCCCAAAAACCAAAACCCTAATCAATCAATCAAGAAGGCACAAAATCTCCAATAGACCCCACCAGAAATTATAAGCCCGTCTTATGTGCAGAATATTTATAATTTTATATGGGTATTATTTTCGGGATAAAATCGTTCATACAACAGCAAACCTGTTGTTTTGTATTATCTGTAACAATAAAATTATATAAAACAAAATTACAAAAGCCACAGAAAAAATATAAATTAAAAAGGAAGAAAGATATTGACCAAAAAAAAAGAAGGGGGAAGAAGGATACAGAAAGGTGAAATGTCAACCGCCACTTGTAACTGTAATTCCCGCATGTTGACTCTCCTACTTAACGTTACTCTATAAAATTTAATTTTTTACCTTCTTTCTCAATTTTTTTTTTTTAACTTTGGTTATAAGCGAGATCATTCATAATATAAAGGCTAGTTTGGGGTTGATATTTTTTTTTTTTTTAAACTGCTTCTGTTCTATTGTAAAGAATAAACAGTTGTGAAAAAACCATCTTTCTTACAAGTATATGGAGAGCAGTTTTGATTTTCTGCTACTTTTTTAAGATTCTTTTTTTTTTTTTAATAATTTAAGCAATCTCAAACCCACTCTAAATTCAAAACGCAATAGGTTGAAGAGGAAAACAATTACCACTATGACAATTTGTAAAATAAATATTGTCATTTTTTTTTAAATAATTATCATTTGTCATGATAATTCATGGAAATTATTTAGTAGTAGAAGTGCATGTGAAGAGAAAAGGATAATGTCGAATTAAATTTAAAGGAAACAAAGAAAGATTTAACCAATGGAGATTTGAGTTCAAATATCAAATCATATAAGTTTTCAAACTTATGTGGATAGCTTCAATTATTAGAGTTTGATTTTTCCAAAAAAGAAAATGGAACAGTAAAGAATTAAGGATTGGAAACCATACATACAGGTCAAATTTCCGTTAGGTCAGTTGGTCCAATTATTTACGAATTAGCTTACAGATATAAGTTAAGTCAGTTGGTTAAGATAGTGTATCATCTCGTGTTTTTGCAATTAAATTCAAATACCCCCACATAAATTAGTTCAAAACATATACCATCTTGTAAAAATACTTTGTTTAGAATTAATATGTAAATCACAAAATTAGAAAAACTCTTAACTATATAACGACGTGACGCAAAACCCATCTCACAAACAATGTTAGTTTTAGATAATTTTTGTTTTTGTTACAATTATATTAGTTAGAGATTTTAATGTAACAGGTCAGAGGGGACAATGGTCAAATCACACGTGAGCAAGGGCACGTGATTGAACTGATCCAACTGCATGTTTACCAGCCAAGAAGTTCCTTGCCATGAAAGTACTTGACACTTCATCTCATGGATGTAACATGCAAGTCTCTAACTACCATGTTCCCACAAAACAAAACAAGAACCTCAGAAATTGGTTATTTTATTTTATTTTTAATTTAAAAACAAAGGTCATGGAAACAGAAAGATTAAATTAAATTCATGAAGCAGTAACTAATCCAATTTGTTGTTGACTTCTCGTTTTATCTGATCAGGTGAGCTGCTGCTGTTACTGCTACTGCGGCTGTTATTCTGAACAACGCCGATATCAGCGAAACTGGTTTCCTTCTTCTTCCAATCATCAGGAATGGGAGCTGATGGCCGCGATGATGATGATGATTCCTTTGCTGCAGAAATGGCATCAGCAAGAGCAACCGGCACGAGGCAGAAACCTTCGCCTTGGAGATGCTGCAGTGCCTTGTCCGCATCTGATTCCATCAGCCTCACCAGTTGTTCTAAAGCAATTTCGTCAAAAGAAACGTCAGCTGCTTGCCCGATTGATGGCAACTGCGGCAAACCATTCCCGACCTGTCATAGATTCACTTGTCATTAATAATAGTCGACTTTTGTATTCTTATTTCTTAGCGCACAAGAAAATATGGGGGGCTATTTCTTTTCTAGTATGTATGAGGCCTTTTTTCAGTTTCTTAGTAATAATGGATGATGATATTATTCTGCCTAAGAGTAGATTAAGACTCGAGCCATAGAATTTCTCGATTCTGAAACAAGGTAGTAAATTGGACCTAAGCACCTTGTCCATAGAGAGAGAGAGAGAGAGAGAGAGAGAGAGAGAGAGAGAGAGAGAGAGAGAGGGCTTAGCACCTTAGCTTGACTGTCTGTGGTGAGAGGGACAACTGCCCCGGCTGCCCCAACTTTGCTCATGCTTAGTTCCTGCAAATCGTTATGTCGAGCACCAAATTATGTTACAGCTTTTCTTACACTGATTCGTGCAAATTTGCTCACCAAATTTAAGTAAATCGCTATCTTGTTCAAGGAAAAAAATGTATAGCATTAGCATTAAATACTTTGGAAAACTGATGAACAGTGTGTTTTATGATAACCCTATTTATGAAGCACGGGGTCGAAACAGTGAGTGAAAGTTCTCCATCATACCTTGAGTTGGAGCTGAAGAAATCTGACATACTCAATGATTTCATCAAGCATAGATGCCTTGTCGGTCTGCAAAATCATGAATGATATCAGTACTTCTCTAAGACCCAGCCGGAACTGATTACACAGGATGTATTTCAGCGTGAAACAGAAGAGCTTACCCTGTTAGACTTTGGCACAAGTTCTTGCAGATTCTTCATCCTATCAGAAATTTTTTCCCTCCGAAGCTGCAAACAAAGTGGACTTCAAAAATCTAATGGTTCAAAAAATAATGCATCGAAGAATCAAAACGTTAAGTGAACTACACAACTAACCCTTTCAGCAATACTGTGTGGATCAGTAGCCTGGCCTCGACGTGCCCTCATACGAGGCTTTCCATTTCCATTACATTCACCAACAGGGTTAGTTGACGTATTCTGCAAGTGAAAATTGTAAGTTTCTGTAATGCTTTCTGTTACGACTCAACAATCATCATGAACACCTACCTTCAATAAAAATCCCAGAGGACAGTGGATTTAGGATAGGTACCTGTGGTAAAGACTGCAAACCAGACATCCGAGGAGCAATAGGGAAGGAAGGCAAAGGATAATTTTGTACGTCCTGCATCCCCTTCTATATTACACAAGCGACAATAGGAAAAGCATTTCAACTACCAAAAATATAAATAGCTAGATATTTCATCCAACAAGATATAAGTGAGCTAACTATCATTAAACCTTGTGATAAACGTTAAACGTGTTGGTAATCACAGATCGATACCTCTGTGGTGACTAAAGCAGCCAGGTTGTTGGGATCGCTTGGCATGACATAATCAACATAATCCCCATAATCTCCATTTATTCCAAAGCTGCACATTTTGAGTTGTACCATGCCAGAAGCAGGAGCAGGAGAAACACCCTCATAAGATTGAAGAGGCCACGGTTGAGAAATTGGAGAAAGGGTTTCAAAATCGCCATTGAATCCCTGGTAGAGGAGTGGTTCGAAGCTATTGCATCCCACATTTTCCGGTGCAATGGAGCGAAGAGGTATTCTCACCATGTTCCCATCCACACCATAGTGCATGCCAATATTTTGAACATCGCAATTTTTTCCACCATCTTGTGCATCTGGTTCAAAATCTTGAAGAATAGATGAAACATCTTGAGCAACCAAGCTCTCCAAACTGTTCGAGTAAGTCAGATATGTAGGTGAACTATTGTTCTCATGTTCATCCACGACAACTACTGAACCAAGAAGCGCTTCATTCGGTTGCTCAGATTCACAACATGCCCAAGATGGTATTTCCTTCGCATCGACATCTGACCATGATGAGGAACTGCAAATTTGATTAATGTACTTGTCCATCGTCAACAGGAACGGATCTTCTCCTTCTGTTTCGTTTTTTTCAGTATGTAAGTCAATGTTGAGCATACATACATACAAACACACACGCGCAAGAGAAAATCAGTAACCAGAAGTGTGATCCCTTATTGGCACTCAACTCAATAGAGAGACTACCGCATAAGAGAAGTTGCAAGGAACTTGTAGCTCATATGATGAAAAGTGTTTACCTTAACCGAAGTCCCGTGTTCAAATCCCCTTTCGCCAATATCGCTTATGTAAAAAAGAACATAGAAAAGAAGCCAAGAGAGTAGAACCAGCAGTTAGAAGCAGTAATGTGCAACCAAAAGAAGAAAATTAATTTTAAGACTCACAAACTAAAACAGAAACCGCCCTTGTAGGCTTATACAAATCAAGAGTATATTACCCTTTTGTGCACTGCTGTCAGCCAGTGATTTGTCCATGATTTCAAAAAAAATCCCGTTGACTGTAGAACGTTACAGATATTTCAATGAGCTTTCAAAATTACCGCAAAGTTAGCTCCGAAATCTCTCCAACTGATGCATGCATGCAGATGCAGTGCAGCAAATATAGGGCATTCTGGTAATTTTGACGGTGACAAGTGACTATCCGCCCCTGATAAAGCGGAGGGGTTTCGGCTCCTCTGGTTGTAGTGGGAGGTTCTTCCTTCACCACTTCCTTGTTGACCAAAACAAACCTTCCCCATTGTTGGTCAAGGATATTTCAGTAATTCAATTACTAGCTCAAAATATTTGTGTACATATATTGCTGGTTGAGGTCGATTTGGTTGGGCTTCAATCAAAATAAAAAATTGGAGACAATGAGTAGACGGCTAGACGTAGTCCCGTAGAAATATCTTTGATCATTTTGTATGTTTTTGGCACGATTTGCCGTTGAAAACGAGATTGAATCTTGATGGGGAACAAAACCAAATGGAGGGTTGAGCGTTGACTGCATTTGGTTTTGTTTCCCATCGTCGCTGAATACTGAAGGATAAGTGAACATGACATTCTTACATGCAACAGTGGAAATATCCCCCATAACCTTATTTTACTCTTCGTGTGACTTGATAGGGTGACGGGGAGAGGATGGAGGCCATTGGAAACACCTGAAAGTAAACCTTACAACTGCTTAGAAGTCAAAATTGAATCCAAGATATATCCGAATCGAAAACTCACTGGAACTATGAGAATTGAGAAGTACAAGAAAATCGAGATATTGACGATTATAATCCCATCTCTATTCCATGGAAAACCTTGGCCATCCTAGAAAATGAAGATACACAAAGTGGAACTTTAGTTATCTGATGATTTTCAAATATGTCTAACCAAACATTTTAAGGTAAATTTTCTTGAAAAGCATTCTAATAAGAAAGCAAATATGTAAAGTACTTTCAAGTCACTTGCTGATTTATCAACAAATGCCTGCAATCCAGATTTGTGCTGGTTTAAACCACCTTTTGGCGCTCTAAAACTTTCTTCGACATTCATTGATAAACTACAATATTTGAAGTACCATCCTAACCTAGATGTAGAGCACTTCATCTACCCCCACAACTAGGACAATAGTGGTTACTAATGTTCTCTAAAACGTCTCCACATCTGTAGCAGAAAGCAGTTCTGCACCTGTAATCAATGCAAATAAACAGAAATTCAAAGAGCATTCAAGAATTTACCGAACAAAACAGGCTGAAATAGTGTTGAGTAATTTGTACATAACAGGTCAAATGTCGGCAAAGCATCCGTATATATGCAGTGGTTTAAATTTTAGTTAATAGACTGGTCACATAAACGAAGAAAATTCAAAGTTTAAATTTTGCACCTGAAAAAACTGGGAATTTATGATATGAATTTAAGAAAGGATTGATGTCCTATCTCCTTCTTTCAAATGTAGTCAAACAGTCACGCTATAAATGAAGCTGAGGGGAGCACCTATGCCAGTTATTATGTCAATCTATCATCACAGTTCTGTTCCCTATTATCACAAATCTAGTTAAATGCATCAAGGCATGGCAGCCGTATTTCTACATACTCCCTCATCAGAACTCCAGATTGCTCCTCATTTCGCCGTCCAATTTGAAGAACAAAGCCAAAGGATTCTAAAGATAGGAAATTTAGCTCATACTCATTTCCTATTTGAGATCATAACCTTAATGGAAGTGCCAGAAAGCCAACAATTCCTCCAACTAGGGATTTTTCGTTATTGTATTGTAAAGGTACTCGAGGGTGGATGGTTTCCAATCATGTGACTTTCAGGGAGTCAGCAATTGCTGTTTTTAGAGGTTGTATGAGAGATCGAAGTGAGGAATCTATTCTGTATTGTTGATGCTTATTATATAAAATTTTGCGCAAATGGTATATGGCAAAGCAATCCAATTCCAAGTGATTCAATTATATCAGCAATAATCAACGTCAGGAGATTTACACAACAAACAATGAAATTTTTATAGCACATGAATAATAAAGTAGTAATTTCAACAAACAATTGAAGAAACATAGCAGATAAAAAACTGACCTGCACATCATGAACATGCAACCCATCGATTTTTCCACATAGAACCTACATTTGGGGCATCTTCTCCATTGTTGCTTCTGCGCAAGGTTTTTCAACATGATATCCTCCTTTTCCCTCTCATCCTTATTCAACTTTAGAAACTCCTCGCATTCGATCCCCTCGTGCCAAGGAGCCTTACACTGAGCACAGAACATTCTCCAACAATTTGGACACGCTGATTGCCTCACAACCTCTTTCCCATCATCAATCAACATTGCAGAGCAATCCTTATAGGGGCAGTAGAATTTCTCTGACCCAAGAATCACAGCCTCGCACAATGCAGTTCCCCATTGGTCAAACACCTTCGGAGGCAGAATGGGCCGGCAATACTCCGGCTCCAGCAACCCTATACAATCAGGAACAGGGCACCTAATGCTGGTAATGTTCTCTTGAAGCTTGGAGGCCACGTACTTAACCATACACTCAGTACAATAACCATGGCTGCAGTTTTCGATCCGAAACGACTCGATTCCCGACTTGGGTTCGACGCAGATTTCACAAACGAAATCCGGGTCATTTTTGGAATTTGAAGATTGCCCTGATTCGGTCACGGAAAAATCCGAAAATAACCCTTTTCCTCTCCTTCCGAAGGGAGTTTTCGAGGGTTTAAACCTAAGAATTCTGAGCTCGTCGTCACCGTCGTAGAAGTCTAGGGTTTCTTCAGAAAGGTCGATAAAGTTATCGGCTTCGGCGGGAGTAGGCACCGATTTGAGCAAAGAAGCCGTGATCGATCGGAGGTCTCGGTCTTCGTCGTCGACGTTGATGGGGTTGATTGAAGGATTCCGCGAAGTGGGTGTGAAGCGGAAGGTGTCGTCTTCAATGTCGATAAAGTTGATGCGAGAGTGAGAGTGAGACGATAGTGGGTTCTCCATCTTAGCTTCCTTTCTTCTTCTCATCCGCTGCCACTGACACAGATTGTAAGGCTTTTGGATGCTCTCTGTCTCCTTCTCTATCTGATCGGAGCTTCCCGTATTTATTCTATGCATAATTACTTAGATTATTATCCTTAAAAAAATAAATGTCTCATTAAATCCTGGTGTAAGATTGAGGAAAAGGTTCGTCGAATCCTTTTTCTGGAAAGAATTTTGTAACTGCGTTCGTTCATCATACTTATTTAAAATTTAAAATTCAAATGTAAATAATATTGAACAAAAATTAACTGCACAATATATAATAAAAGAGCACGATTACAAGATTTTTATGATTCCTAAAAAAAGTATCAAGCGATCATCATTTTTCGTAAGATTGAATATTGACTATAGTCCTTTTGAATTAAATATTCTTTTCCTATGTTTTAGCTGTTATTATTGATTTTTATTTCTATTTCGATAAAAAGTGATTTTCAATTTATAGCCTAATTGGTGCTTGATAAATTTTAAACTTTCTTATAATGTGAGTTTTGGCTTATGTTTTCTATATTTTTGTGCCACTACGTATGGACCTAAATTATGGTACCTACATGTGTAGACCTACGGTATGGTACCCATATGTGTGAATCGATAAGTTTATCTTTTGTACATATGTGCCTATATTTTACTTATAAGTTTTTGTATGTGATTTTCATCTTCTTCTCATTCTTTGAGATCATCACTAACATTTCAATGGCTAGAAATAGTAAGTGATTATTTTGTGTGTTTATGAAATGTTTCTACTTTTATTATAATATATTTTTCTACACCAATGATGATTGCTTATGGTAACAATTTGAATTTAAATACCAATTGGTAAAGCTACTTATGGGCGTGTTTAAATTTTATTATGAGAACATTTGTAAATAAGGAAATTGGTGAAGCTAATCAATATGATGTGCAATTAAGAATTAAAATAGGGATTTAAATTAGATTTATAAAATCATCCAATCCAATCTAAACATTGTTTTATTTAGGTTCTCAAGTCTGCATGTCCCTTTCCTTTATATATATAAAAAAATAAAAAAAATAAAAAATAAAAAAACACCAAACTAAACAAACCTTGTTGTTTCAATTTGTCAACAATCCGTTAAGGTTTTTTTTTTTTTTTTTTTGGTGTAATTATTTTATTTTAATATAACACAAATTGTATGTGTTTTGGAATGTTCATAAATTGTAACACAATTGTATGAGTATTGGAATCATGGTGCCCCCAATAAATAGGAGTCTCCCGATAAGAAAGATTTTTTTTTTTTTAACAAATGATATTATCTACGAGTAAAAGGTCTTAAGCATGAGTTTTTTCAAGCGAAAATGTTTGGCTTTAAAACTTTGATTATTTTTTTGTTCAAAAAAAAAACCTTTGATTGTTTTGCAAGCAGTGAATTTGTCTTGGTAGTTAAAGTTTTTCTTTCAATTTACTGTGTTTGAGTCTAAACACTCTTCCATCCCATCTTATGACAGAATATTGTTTGTAATTAAGAAAATCTTGATGGTTGAAGGAGAATCTCATGTTTTACTCAAGCTTTTGTAGGACAAAAAAACCCTCATTGGAAAATTTTGACATTCTATAATATACTGAGAGGATTATGTCAAATTTACAAATTGTTCAACCTCAACATGTGTTTTGAGAAGCAAATTTGGTGGCAAATTAGCAGGGTCAGCCCTGAGAATTTGGGGCCATAGCGAGTCTTCGAAGTAGAGCCCTAGAGTTCTCTAATCCCTGATCTTTTATACTTTGATATGTATAAAAAAAGAATTTGCTAAATACATGAAAAGTATTATAAACTTTTTTATTTAAGTGTGATTGTGTAAATCTTAGATTAGATTTGATTATAGTTATTCTTTCTTATTAGGACTTGTATTCCTTGAGGGGAATGATTTCTTCCCTCCCTTATTACTATAATAAAGACATTGCATAGAGGGAAATAATATATCCTCTACACAACCTTATCTCTCTCTATATTTTCCCTGTTTCACCGGCCCCCTCTCCCTGTTAGTTCAATATAGGCCACAACAAAAAGATCTATTTTCTAGATCAAATATCATTAAAATCAATATCAAAAGAAGAAAGATATATAAATATTACTTAAATATTACACGTCTCGCTTTTTTAGACGCAATAAGTTTACATAATCTAATTTTTCAACCAATTATTTTCAATTGATTAAATAGCTAACTCATTCAATCTTTCTTGTGACATAATTGATCGAAAATAAGATTTGATCAACTTTAATTTTGAATTTTTTCTGCAGATGCAACTGTAACTGATATCTGTAAACTATTTGAACAGACACAAGGTTTGTTATATTAATATTTTAGAGTACATGTCCACACACAAAATGTGTATGAAATATTTTACTTTTGTTTTTAAAATTGAAGGAGAGAGGAATAGAGTGAGAGAGAACATGAGAGTGGATAGAGAGGGAGAGAGAGGTTTTTTTTAATCTTTTTTTTATTAATAAAAAATTAGACATGATACAATCACTTGTAGTTGAAGTTTAAGAAAAAAAGCAAAATTTTGTTTTATGAAATTACGTTACTGTCCTTAACTTTTTTATTGTGATACACGACAAAAATGTATCTTCACCCTCTTTTAATTGACAAATACGATTTCATTAATGCAGTTTATATATATATATATATAGAGAGAGAGAGAGAGAGAGAGAGAGAGAGAGAGAGAGAGAGAGAGAGAGAGGGGAAGCCTTTAAGGGAAGGGATCTCCAATTTTTTTCTAAACATGGGATTAATTGTGGGGTCCACACGACATCGAATTTTAACAATCAGAACCATCTATTTTTCAAGTTGCACCTCATAAATCATCTTTACAAAATATTAGCCAAATTAGAAATATTTAAGACATCTAATTGAGTTTAAAAAAATTAACGAATACTTTGTTACATAAGAAAAGCGATTGCCGGCATCATCGTCAAACTAATATGTATAATTGGTTTTGTAATTAGCCACTTTTGTTGCTTTAAGGCTTGTTACTATATAACGTTTTTAGGAATTCTTTTTGGTTTTTTCAGGTGGTTGTAGTGGTTTCATTATTATATTAAGATTATATAAACATTAAAAAAAGGACATTATGAATAAAATTCAAGAGGTAATCTTCTCAGAATTACTTTAACATGATATTTAAGGCCAACTTGATCCAAAAGACTACTACTTAATATATAAGATCAATGTTTACCAAAAAAAAAAAAAAAAAAAAAAAAAAAAGATAAGATCAACTTGACTAAATTGCCATTTCGTACTACGATTTAATGTATTCCTCTTCACTTGTAAGTGAGAAGTCTTAGATTTAATTCTTGTCAAATGTAAAATTGAACCACATTATTACTAGCTCGTTGTGAGGCTTAACCACTTTCAACGGTGGAGCCAGAAAATTAGATTAGAAGGGGCCTTTAAAGCCATACAAAAAAAATAAAAAAATAATAAAAAAAAGACAAATTAATGAGAGAAAAATTAAAGTTTTTATTTTTATTTTTGTATCGGCATGAAAATGTTTAATCAAACGAGAATGGTGGAGCCTTACTTTGTATGAAAAACTTAGTATTGAAATGATATATCATAAGAACAAAACTTGTTTAAGAGTTTTGATATAAAAAAAATTAACACATTAACTTTGAATTAAATTTAAGGTTATAACTTAAAATAAGACATTGCTCTCGACTATATGGTTTTTATTGTTTAAACATAAGGCCAATTATAACATAAAAATAGGGCTTAGTTTTAATATGGTAAAAAATAAGATAAATTATAAGGGTTTTTTTTTTTTCTTTCAGTTTAAAAAAAAAAAAAATCTAAAAATGTTAACATACCAAACATTATCGAACCATGGGCACTTGTTAAACACCACTAACCAATGGTACACACTCTGGTTTTTGTAAGTCCTTGCAGACAATAGGTATAAAAGGTTGTGATTCCAGGATAGCGAGGCTTGGGCCAATCCTAAGCTCTGTGTGGCTCAACTATTGGTCACTTTCTCACTCATTTAGTGTATATAATATCAATTGTTTAAAAGAAAAAAAAAAAAAAAACTTGACCAAATTAATTTTCACTTGCTTGTGGATTTGAGGGCAAGACCTCTTAATTTGACACTAGAGAAAACTCCCTCCATAACAAAGTAAAGAAAAATAAGAATAATACTCATTTGGTGTCGAGTGTTTATTTCATGCATCTAAAGCTCTCATCTACACTTATCAGATAATGTTAGGGAGACCTAAACCAAATTTTGTAAATAATTTATTGATAATTAAATTATTACTTAAACATTGATTAATGTACTTAATTTTTATAGCGACAATCATATAGTTCAAAATTTTAGTTTATCTAGCATTACAAACATATATATGCCAATACAAATAAAAATGAAAGATAAACAGAAAGCAATCCTAGCGACGGTAGTGCTAGTGGAGTACCACAGGGTTATCCATAGAAGAACTGACATCCACACCTGCATGCAACAATTTAAACTGCAAAGCGTTAGTATAAGTTATCAACTTTGGTGATGAATGTCAATAAAACAAGGGGCATTTTGTTTTTTTAATCCTCAGATTTTGTCATTCCTTGGTAGGTTGGATTTATTTCTCTTTCTCTTTTTTTTCTTTTTTTTTTTTTTTTTTTTTTTTTTGGATATACATCAGCGCTAGAATTCAACCTTGGGACATATTATGATACTGGCAGACTAATTAGGTACATTGATATATTAATATACCGACGGAGTTACAAAGGCTAAAATTTTGTACCTAATCAACAAAAGATAAAAGGAGGCGGCCTAGTTTTATAGTGGAAATCAAGCACATTTGCCGCCTTCCTTACATGGGTTTGAGGCTCCCTCACTCCCCTTTCTCCCTTCCCATTCATAATCTCATTTAACTGTTGAGTCTTTGACAAAATAAACAAAACAAAAAACAAAGTATGATAAAAGTTCAATCTACCATCTTAGCTAAAGGATGATAATTTAATATGTGTGTGTGTGGGTTAATTAGGATCGGGAGACAGATTTTGACACACTTTGTAGAGACTTTTTTTTTTTTTTTTTTTGGGGCTACTTTTTTCAACGATTCAAATTATCTATATTTCAATTCAACATTCATATAAGTTGAGCCAAATCAGATAAATAGAAAAATAAAAATAAAAAAGTATGAACCTAATATACAGCTGAAACAAATTTCAAACTTAGTACTTCAACTCAAATTAAATTAGGCTTGCGATGACTTGTAGATATAGTCGTGGAAAACAAATTTTTTTTTTATCAATGCTCATAGAAAATTATTTGAATATTCTGAAACTAAGTTTAGTGTTTAAGACATTGGAGGTTTTAGATGGTATTTTTCTCTATTTGTCAAAGAGGAATCTTAGGTTCTACTCCTCTTAGTGAAAAGTTCGATAACAATTCATAGTTGGTACATTGTGTGTGGCTTAGTCCAAATGGCCCGATATCACTATATCAAGAAAAATAGTAAGATGCAGAAGTATCTGACCAGCAGTTTATGACGTCGCACCCCCCAGATTTTTCAACATAGTATTTGCAACCTGGACACCTCCTCCACTCGTTTTTCATGGCGAGCTCGTCCACCTTCTTATCCTCATCACCAGATTCACGACCACCCTTGGTATTGCTTAGTTTTTGAAACTCGGCGCAACCATATCCTGTATGCCAAGGATGTAAGACATATTCAACACAGTCCATAGATCACAGATATGCTATTCAATCACGAAACACAAGAACAATATCACAGTACAAGAACAGAGAGGAAACATACCTGCAGAACTCGATGCAGAAGAAGAAGCCATTGCAGCCTTGGAACTATTAGCCTTCTCCTCTTTAGCAAAACACAATTGCTCTCTAAATAATAGGTACTTGGTACAAAATAAGCAGATAGATTGCAAGAGCAGTGGCCAATGTTCATACACACACACACATATCGAATGTCTTCCAAACTTTTTCTCCTATTAGAATCAGTATGGGAAACAACCTCCCAAAAGATATCAACACAAGCGAGGACTCCAAACCAAATACAAGGTTAAGTCCGAATCGTGCAATAATTCTCAATACCAGGAATCCCAAAAAGAATAGGATCACTTCAAGCTTATCAATAAGACTTTTCCATATTGAATTCATACACTATAACCGGTTCAATATGTCAAACTCATACTCATACTCCAACAAAGGAACCTTACAACTAGCGCAGATCTCTCCTTTGCAACGAGAACACAGCCACCAACTCGGTTTCATGTCATTCTTATATATTAACATGGCTGAGCAATCCTTGAAGGGGCAGTAGAAGTACTTGTGAGTCTTAGATTCCATAATCATTTTCCTATACACGGCATTGCGCCACCGATCAAAGACGCTGTTTGGCAGAATTTTCCGACAGTACTCAAGGTCTAGCATGCCCATGCAGCCTGGTACGGGGCACTTAATGTTTGTGACTTTGTCTTGGAGCTTGGACACTATGAATTTAACAACGCATTCACGACAGTAAAAATGGTTGCAACCCCTTATCTTGAATATGTCTTTCACATCCGTTGGCTCAATACAGAAATCACATATAAAAGAACTTTGACTGATATCGTCATGTCGGTAATTAGGAGCCCAACCTGACGTCCAGTCTATGCGAACTTTTTTCTCTTTCATGATTCTGTTGTGACAGAGTGTGTTAGTAAGTGACTGAGTTTTTGTTTCACATATCATCGCCCCTTAGTATTGTTGCCAAAAACTAGACCAAAAATGTAAGATCATGTTGATGCCAAAAAACTAGAACAAAAACTTAAGGTCATGAAACACAAAAGGAGCTGATGATATGCATGGTCGGGAGATTCCATTATCAAAGAGAAATAATAAGTGTATATGAAATCCTCCTCTAGCGACCTAAGAGAACGAATAAAGAGAAGTTTGTGAGACCTTAGACTCATGCGACGTTTATGTAAGCAAATAACATAAGATTTGGGTATTTAATTGTTGAATTTATCATATAGGTAGCTTCTTTTGTCAAAAAGGATTCTAAAGTTTGTGAAAAAAAGTTGAACTTACATCATAAAATTAATTTAAAATCTGAGAAAAAGTCTATTTCTTATAAGCACATCAAACATTCATTCTTTTCTCGAAGTGAGATTGATATTATTTTTAATACTCGTGGAGAAAAAAAAATATTCATAATATTTTTAAATTAACCAAATATAAAAATTAAAAATCAAAACTAGTCTTTAATTGTGGCGCTAATCATTCATTTGAACTCGCTCCACAAAGTAATCTCATGATCCTATCCGTTTATTGTTTTAGGTCATGCTTGCAAATTTTCACTCAAATCGGAAAACCTTCAATTATTTAAACTAGTATTAAGTACATTTTATGGTTTACCACCAACACTTATTTATCTATATATCATATCACGTAAAATGACTAAACCTTTCGAACTAAGTGAAATTTTGCACAGGTTAGTTAGCCGTCTTAAGTTACTAACTGACCACTCCCCTATATCATTTAAGTGTTCAACCTATGTCAAATTTTCAATTAACTAATTTAACAGCAGAAGTGTGTATATATAGCTGACCTGCATCTCATTTTATCGCACCCATCACATTTTTCGACGTAGTAATTGCACCTTGCGCGCCTCTTCCAGTTACTTTTCTTCCCAAGCTCCTCCATCATCCACTCTTCATATATAGCTATTGGTACAATGAAATCCTGTATGCCAAGCAACCTTACAAGTAGCGCAGAAGTCTCTCTTGCAATAAAAACATAGATAACAAGGCAATCTGGTGCCGTCATAATTCTTCTGAAGCAAAGACAGGGCTAAGCAATCCTCGTAGGGGCACTAGAAGAACTTGTAGTCAGTCCCTGTAATAATCTTTTTTCTTCTCAAGGCATTGCACCACCGGTCAATGACGGCGCGTGGGAGAATTGGACGGCAATACTCAAGGTCTAACATGCCGTGGCAGCCCGGTAAGGGGCACATAATGTTTGTGACATTGTATTCGAGGTTGGACTCAACAATTTTAACAATACATTTTTCACAGTAAAAATGGGTGCAACCCTTGATCTTGAATAAGAGTACCTTATGCATTTGCTCAACACATAAATCACATGTAAAAGTTTGATTGCGGTTATGAGCCAAACCCGGCTGCCGGCTTCGTTTCATAACTTCAAATGTTCTTGCCTCTCCCTTTGAAGCATTCATGATCCAATAACGATGGAGGAATGGAGAACTCCTTTATAGTATAATAGTAGGAATAAGACTCCTAAATTCCTAATTAGAGTTAAGGGAGTGCGTGTTTATCATTTCACTAGAGACAGGAGAATATGTACTTGCGTTTAATTAGAATTTCTCTAACGGTTAGCTCCCCTTGTCAATTAGGACTCAATCAAACCAAGATGCATACAATATATTTCTATTGTGGGGGGTGGGGGGTGGGCGTTCGAATATTATGGATTTTAAGTGGGGAAGTCACATATGTGTGACATTGTGTGCATTAGTAAACACATGATTAGTGAGGAACCAAAATGATTATCCAAGACTTCATGTGTTAAATTAGGAATGCGAATTATATCAAGGGACATTATAAAATGCACACATTTTTTAGCCTCACACAATCATGTTCGTTAATCTTGATTGATTTATTTAATCTGATGCTATAAATAAAAAAAGGAAAACTAATGAAAATGGTTTGAAAACTTTGAGTTTTAATGATAAGGACAAAATAAAAAGTAAAGTGAATATTACCGGGATTGATTTTTTAGTGTAAAAATGTAGTTTTTTGTTAAAATGAATAGTACCGCAGATTTTTCGTTAAAACTCCTAATAAATAAAAAAAGTGCGTGAAAAGTTCAAAGAAAGTATGTTAAAATTACCTTCTTTATTAATTTCAATACACGATCATGTTGGACGAAATTCTACTTCTGCCCAAAATTGAATGAAAATTGAAATGCGCATGTAGATTATTAAAAATTCTAAACTTCTGACCCGATTTTTTGAAAAAAAAAAAAAAAAAATTTGCCAACTTATTCCAATCAATTTTTTGTTGACATATTCCAAACTTAATAGATTAAAAAAAAAAAAAAGTAGCAATATAATCAAGTACCATGATCATAAGTTACATACGAAGAGAATAATGTTTTAGGTCAAAGCACGAAACAATAACCTTAAAAGCAAGGTTACTTGCTCATCAAGCGTCAAGGTTGCCCATCTTGATCATTGAAATTTCAATGGTCCCCATGTCTAAAATTAGGGGAAATTGGCACCGTGGATGGCACGTTGACACAAGAAAGTAGTGGTTGTGTGGGAAATATTTTGTACGGCTCATAATCAGTGATTTGTTTAACACATAAATATTTCTTGAGACGAACTCTGGATGAGCAAGAATGGTTCTAATTTAAATATTTGTACAGTGATATGATCGTTACAAAACCACCACAACATGTTTTTTGTATTAAAAAATAAAGAGTTTCGAGCCTAAAAACATAGGGGATACAAATTGGTACATAACTACCACACCATGCTTCATTTTTATTTAGTTTCTTTTGCGTTATATCAATTTATACACATTAAAAAAATATATAAAAATAGAGCAACCAAAATTTTAGACCATGCAAAGACCTTTGTTTGAATCTTGCTCGCATGGGGACTTCAAAATCTCAGAAATATTTCATTCATACCCATCAACCGCTCCATTTTCTTCCACAAACATCAAATAAACTCACCGTAATTCACAAATTTCAGGGTTCTTGAATCTAGGAATGGCAGAATAAGAAATAAATCAACCACTAGTCTTCAATGATAGAGTAAAATAGGGTGGTTCACACACCTTTTTTTTTACCTTTTCACATACCTTTTTTAATTTCTATCATTTGATCTTCTTCAATTCATTTAATTCGACGACTAAAAATTAAAAAAGATGTGATGTGTGAATGATAAAATGGGATGTTAGATAGCACTACTTGTAAAATATACTCTTTGGATTATCAATTATTATAGAAAAGATAAGGAAGATCCAAATTCTACATATATGAAAAAACATCCAAAAGTGATATTAATCCCATTAAATATTATAAACATGTAAACAAACTGAACCATTAATGATGATAATTCCAGTATCATGAAGGAATTAACAAGCAAAGTGACAGCGAATAGATGAGTTCCTCCTTATTATGTAATGCCGCATCCTGCATTTAACCTGTACTATTACAGCAAGATAAGCAAAAACGCATTATTCATTACAGCTTGGACAAAGACGGGTATGAGAAGTTACGGAGGCTTCTACTCCACAATTGTGACAGAAAGCATGTTGACACCTGTAACAATAGTTATCAACTTTTATGAGAAAGAATAAAACAAAACACCAAAAAGATAATGTCAACTTCGGTGAAAAAGAATAAAACTAAACACCAAAAAGATAATGTTCATCTAATTAATTGAACGGAATGTCTCAGACTGATTATAAATAATAGGATAATCTACACTAAATTTATTTAATCTACGAGGATCCACCACTTACATAGGGTTTATAATAAAACGTAAGACCACATGATAAAGTTCCACAGTAAAATATAGTCATATATTATTCTCGAAATTAATTAACTAAACTGCAGAAAATCTAGAAGAAACGAAAATATCAGAATAACAGTTAACTCAAATTAAGGATTTTGATTCCAAGCATAGAAAAATTGAACCAATCTACAGAAAATCTAGAGGCAGTAGACAATTTCAACTGACCTGCATAAAATGTAGCTACACCCCTCATTTCTTTCAACGTAATAATTGCAATTTGGACACCTCCTCCAGTTCTTATTCTTGGCAAGCACTTCCAACATCTTGTCTTCGCCCTTCTCTTTCAACTTCTGAAACATGGCACAGTCAAATTCGGTATGCCAAGGAACCTTACACATGGCGCAAAATTCTCTATTGCAATGAGGACACACAGACTGACTGGTATCCTCTGGTTCCTCATTAATCAACAGTGCCGAGCACGAGTTGTATGGACAGTATAAGTACTTCCTCCGAGGGTCCATAACGACAGATTCACATAAGGCCTTTCCCCACCAATCAAAGACGTCTTCCGGGATAATTGGACGGCAGTACTCGATGTCTAGCGTGCCGCTGCAGTCCGGTACAGGGCACGTAATGCAAGTGACATTGTCTTGCAGCTTGGATGCTATGAATTTAACAATGCAGCCTTGACAGTAAAAATGGGTGCAACCCTTTATGTTAAATGAGTCTTTCAGGTTAACTGGCTCAACACAGAAATCACATATGAAGGTCGAATCAATATCGCTCTCAGGGGCAAGTACAGACTCATATAAAGCATTGCCCCACGAAACAATGACGTCGGATGGAAGGATTTGACGGCAGTGATCTGGGTCTAAGACACCCTGGCAGTCCGGTACAGGGCACACAATGGATGTGACATTTATTCGGAGACTAGAGACTACGTATTTAACAGTGCACTCTTGACAGTAAACATGGGTGCAACCCTTGATGTTGAATGAGTTTTCCAGATGAATCAACTGAAGACAGAAGTCACATACAAATGTTGGATCAGTATAAACATGTTGGTTCTTCTCCAAGATCTGAGCGAAACCCAAATTTATTTCCTTCTTATGTAATTCTCCTGTCTGTTTGGTTCTGACGGAAATGTGCTTGCTCAATTTCTTGCTGCTGCTGCTGCCCCTTTTGTTTCCGCTGGAAACTTTATTGCCCATCTCTCTTCTGTTCTCTCTACCTACAGCACTGGAGAAGCCTTCATTCCGGGGAAGATAGGGCGGCTCACTCTTGTAAATTTTAGTGTTTCAATATAGGGGTTAAATAAGTTTGGACCTCTTGTAGCTTCCTTGGTCAGTAAGGATTCCGAAGACAACCGAATTTTGATCTGATTCCAATTTCTTCAAAGGGTTTAATCATAATTAATAAAACCACCCAAATCTCTTCATTGGTGGAACCTACAGCTTAAGGTGTATGACTCATAGTTTGCCATAGACTAAAACATGTGAATGTATTTAAAGGTTGTTGAATAGTTCACAATTGTAAGTGGTAACCTTTTACTATCTTCCACAAAATTTTCCTTTCGGCAATTTTAAATGACCATTATGCCACTGCTTGCTTATATCTAAGGGTTTTCATACATATAGTAATTGCGGTTTTTGGCAAACTAATTACAATGTAAGGGGGTGTTTTCAATTAGAATTTGAGAGTTTTTTTTTTTTTTTTTTTTTTTTTTTTTTTTTTTTTTTTTTTTTTTTTTTTTTACAAATTTAGGGTTATTCAATCAGAAGTTTAAGTGATTATCTAAAAGTCAAAGTGTATTTAATCAGGATTTTAAATGTGCTTTAATAAGTGTACTCGCTTATGAATTGATTTTTTTAAAGAATTTTAAAAAGTTGGGGAATCTATGGAATTTGAGAGATTTCGTAGTATTTTAAGCATTCTCAAATCTCATATCTCTCCCTGAAATTTGAGGGAATTCACTAAATTTTTTACATAAAATCCCTAAAAATCAATTAAACTCTATTAAATGTATGAATTTATAAGTCCATTAAAATTCCTCAAAACCTCAAATACACTCTTAAGTTTCCCCTTCTTGCCGTTGATGTGCCCCAATCTCCACAAAGATATGTGCTTTTGAATAATTCACACAATTGTTAATAATCAACCTCTTCCAACAAAAATCAGAGTAACAATAATATTCCACAAATCTCAGGGTTTCTTGAATTTTGGAAACGCAATTGTTTTTTTTTTTTTCATCAATTTAAGAAATTACAAAAACAATGACCAAATCCTTTCACAAAAAGCATGGCCAGCAACTAAACAGGCCCTTTCATAATTTCAAAATCGATCATCATCAGCAGAAAAAAGATTTAAATATCGTACGCCGGTGGGCACAGTTTTGACAAATGAAGAAACCTCTTTGCCCTCCACAAGTGTAATTGACACCTACACGAACTCAAACAATAAGCATATTGACACCTACACGAACTCAAACAAGAAATCCATCGGAAAAGAAAATAATCAACTTTGACGATGAACCAAAAATCTATACCAAAATGTAAAGTCCAAATAAATTGTATGAGGATAATATATAGTATCTTAATCTAGAGGTGCATCAAACAGATATGCCTCGTTTGGCAACTCGGACTGCATTGACTATTTCAATTGAATATGATAAATAGTCATTTGGATAATACTGACTAAATTGAGACAACTCGGACTATATTGAATATTTGAATCGACCATATTCTTTATACACGGCACCAACATGCTCATATTATTGACTTCATCATGCGTAATCACAAATGCCAAGATTCTATAAAATAAATCAAATGCACTTTCAATTTCCCCATTTTGGATATAACCTACAATCATGGATGCCTAGGAGTAGTTAAATTAAGGGGATTTTAACGAAAAGCTCTTAGTACTGTTCATTTTGACGAAAAACCATATTTTTTACACTAAAAAGTTAATCTGATACTATTTCCTTTACCATTTATCTTGTCCTTATCGTTAAAACTTAAAGTTTTCAAACATTTTTCATTAGTTTTTTTTTTCCAGACATAATCTGATAAACCCAAATAAGAGTAGAAATCAACAAGCCCACTTCAAATGAATTCATCTCCCTGCAGGTCTTACTCATACTAAAGAGTTTCAACCGAGATAATAACCAAATTCACCAAAAAGCTCAAAAGAAAAAAGAGAGAAATTCAGAAGGTTATAACCCACACCAACCAAAATTAAACCCCTTTAGCAGATTAACACGGAAATAATAAATACCCCAATTCACCAAAAATCTGAAGAAGTTGGGAAAAAATGCCCAATCCATTTCTTCAACTAGGTATGAATTTTCAACATATCTAACTCAGGATCCTTGCAATTCTAGCCAAAAACCCAACCAAATTGATTTTTTTCAACGATTCGATCCATATCAGGAAAACAAACCAAGCGGGTAGTGTTCTTTTGTCAAGGGAGATGGCCGCAAAATGAATAAAAAATATACAGGTAAATTTTTTTCAGATTTGAAAACTGACAAACCCTAAAATTTTAATTAATATAAAAAATTATAATCAATTGCAAAATTAGAGAGAACAATAACCAATTTCAATTAATTGAAAGGAAATTGCGAGAAGAGCAGACGGAGGAGGGGAGAAACTGATAGAAAAGAAGAAGAAAGATTGCAAGAAAAATAGATGGAGGAAGGCAGAAACCGATAGAGAAGAAGAAGAAGAATCGGAGGAGAGGAGACGACAAGAATAGGAGGAGAGGAGACGAGAGGGCGAGCGATGCAAGTGAGAAAGAGAAAGCAAAGCGTGTTTTCTACCTTGCCTGACTAAATAATACCGTGTTCTGGGAGAGTATAATTAAGCGGACATGAACCGGATAAAATGGATGGGCCCGGAATGTTAATTCGGTGACTATTTAATACGTATAGGCATTCAACATCGGATTTCGTATTATTAGTATTATCCGGTATTTTATACGGCATACCAAACCATGCCATCGTATCTTAATCTAGAGGATGCTTTTAATTTAGGTTCGAGTAAAAAAGTCAACCAAAACAATTTTACAAATACTATTGTAATTCAAAATAATTACATGATTGTCGCTTAATCCTCCCATGTTTAATATAATTTTGAGAATCTCTTCCAACAAAATTACATTCCATGTTATTGGAACTGGATCCCCTCCGGATCCACCAAAATTGAGTTCATTAATTAATGAATCCGAACCGTTGAAATTTGATCCAATGGTTACAATTATTATAACTTTTAGAAAGCTCTCTGTTTGTAATTGTTTGATCAAATTTCAACAACCTGAATTCATTGATTAGTGAACTCAGTTTTAAAGGATTTGGAGGAGATCCTGTTCCCATGGTATTGTGCTAACCTTTTTACTATTCCGTCACATCCATCAGCCAGCCATTCAATATATTCCAAACAAAAATCAATGCAACAAAAATCAAAACGCAATGGGAGCTTTTTAAGCATTTGCATTATCAATCTAGGAAATTACAAAAGAATTTGACCAGATCCATCACAAAAAACATGACCAGCAACTACGTACATCCATCGTTTCATTATTTTTCGAGCTGTCATCCTACGTTGGTTGAAACAAGTACAGTAACCTGAACATTGCACTCCACCTTTGTAACAGAACCTATATCGACACTACAAAAACTCAACAAGAAATCAATCAGAAAAAAAATCTATACCAAAATGTAAAGTCCATTTAAGTTCAATCTAGAGCAAATTCAAATAGAAATCCATCAGCTAATCAATTTTTCGAGCAATATTCTAATTTAATCTAAATCAATGGGAGGGGAGAACATTAATCTAGGCAACTTAACTATGCCTAGGTCTGCATCAATCAAACATTCTTTTTACTAATGGGGCCGTTTGATAATTATAAAAAAAAATGGTTGTCTATTAAAACAGCCCCTTAGAAAATTAACCAATCTGCAAAAAATAATAGAAGAAGCAGAGAAGTGCAAATTAACTGACCTGCATTTGATGTAGTTGCACCCAGATATTATTTCAACATAGTAATTGCAATTTGGACACCTCCTCCACCTCTTCTTGGCAAGCTCTTCCAGCATCTTGTCTTCACCCTTCTTTCCCAGTTCCTGAAAATTGGCACAACCAAATTCGGTATGCCAAGGAAAGGTCACTTGGCGCAAAACTTTCTTTTGCAATGAGGACACACAGACCGAGTGGTACCCTCCGGATACTCATGAATCACCAGTTCCGAGCACGCATTGAAGGGACAGTACAAGTATGTCTTTCGAGGTGCCATAAGGGCCATGACCACAGATTCACATAAGGCCTATCCCCACCGATCAAAAATGTCTTTTGGGAGAATTTCAAGGCAGTACTCTGGGTCTAAAGTGCCAGTGCATTCTGGTACGGGCAGATAATGCGAGTGACATTGTCTTGGAGGTTGGAGACTGAATTTAACAATGCGGTCTCGACAGTAAAACTCAGTGCAACCGCGTATGCTAAATGAGTATTTCAGGTTAACTGGCTCAACACAGAAATCACATATGAAGGTTGAATCAAAATCGCTCTCAGGGGAAAGTACAGACTCGCATAAGGCATTGCCCCACAAATCAAGGACGTATGGGATGAATTGACGGCAGTGCTCTGGGTCTACGACACCGGTGCAGCCCGGTACAGGGCACGTGACGGAAGTGACTTTTAATTGGAGGTTGGACACTATGAATTTAAAAATGCACTGTTGATAGTAAGAGTGAGTGCACCCCTTGAAGTTGAATGAGTTTTTAAGATGAACTGACTGAAGACAGAAGAAGCATGCATTTTTTACCACTTTGGAAAGTTGCTTACTGTTGCTGCTGCTCCTTTTGTTTCCGGTACAAATTTCGTTGCCCATCTTCTCCTCTCTCTATATATTTAGAGAACTGGATGAAAGATAATTGAAAATTGTGTAAACTCAACTCTGTTTTGAGCTGAGGCTTCACATTTACATTCAAACTCTCAAGTTTGTTGGGTGCGTGATTCTATCTACTAGCTTGTAAATAGGGTTTCAAACCTACGACAAGATCCTGCAATCTTTTTCCCATGGCCTATAACAACAACGTAGCTTCTTGCCAACCAGCCAACTCCACCCGCAAACCACAACCACCCCCCCCTCCCCCTCCCCTCCCCCTCCCCACCAAAAAAAAATCCTCAAATGAATCCCAGCTTCATCGAACCCCCTG